CTTGTGACACCTCTTATCTTCTGGCGCTCATACAACCTTATGCAGTTGCGAGCGCCTTAAATCCTCTACTAAAACTATTTAAAAAAGCATAATTTCATATTTTTGGGGCTCAGTTTGAATAATTTCAAAATTTTTATTGCCTAAAACGACGGGGACAGAGCCAGGCGCTCCTTACATTTTTAGGTTTCTCTCTCACCACAGGACCTCCACCGACACAATATGACTGTACTTGTACTATGACTATGATGACGCCTATTGGTTTTGGGGTTTTTTTTGTTCCTTTTCTCTTTTTGTGGTTTTGTAATTATTTTATTTGGTCACCATGGTGACGATATTCATTCATGCGAGATTCCACCACCCATCTGTGATTGCAATTTGAAATATTATAAATTATTACAAAATGGACGCCCCAAAACGCGTTCCTTCTGCTGAACATACCACGGTTGTCTCGAGTTTTTTTGGTTTTTTTAAATAGTTTTTTTTTTAGTTTATTGTTGTATTTTTCTAGATCTAGATCTAGTACATTTACATATACCGTAATGAGATCTGAGTGTGGTAAACTCTTTATTTCATGGGAACATCTAGACTATAATTTTGATTTTTTTTTTTTACAGCTTCAGATTTACATGTATTAAGAGTCAAACGTCACTTGCTTGCAACACAAAATAGGTCATAAAATTATTATAATTATAAGTGTCAGAGATCGGAAGCGTTACGAGAGAGTAACGCACTAAGTAAGCAAGATGGGGAGATAGTTTTACTTAAGTTTTAGTAAAAAGAGTTTTACGGCACTTGCAACACAATGTCATATTATATAAGTGCCGAAGATTAGAGTTAGTTTTAGTTTTAGTAAAGGTTTTTATAAGTGCCGAAGATTTGAGGTGTTACAAGAGTACCAAAAACACAAAAAAGAAGGAAGAGTTTAGTTTTAGTAGAAGTTTTACGTCGCTCGCAACTGCATAAGGTCATATGAGCGCCAGAAAGATTAGAGGTGTTACAAGAGAGTAACAAACATAAAAAAGGAGGAGAGATAAGGACGATAGATGTTTGATAGGAAAGAAGGAGCAAACCACACTAGAGCACCCGCCAACCACCAACGGAGGGGAGATAAAAACGATAGATGTTTGATAGAGGAAAGAAGAAGCAAACCCCACCAGAGCACCCGCCAACCACCCACAATACATATAGAACGGTCACGGAGACTGTAATGTAAAACCCAGCAGAGAAACACAAGCCAAAGACACCCAGGAGGTGGTCTACACATTTATTACAACTATTGTCTGGTCTTGCTATCACAGTCACCACCAGACCAACCATGATAAGATTAACATGAACAGAATGTAGAACAGCCACGTCTAGTAGTGATAAGACGTATACCTGTGCTCACACTCACACAGATACACACAAACACATACATGGATCACATGTAAACTTTTTTTTCCATCAATTATAATTTTTAAATTTCACATGAACGGAAAAGATGGCAGAGCCCAACATAGTAGATGTAAGTAACTCAACTGCACAGGGATCGAACTCATGTCTAGCGTGTGCATCAGTGACGAGCTTAAAGCCTTCCACTTACGCTACACCACAGACCTTGCGCTTCAGAGATCAGAAATACACTGGAACGAGTCTCCGCAGTGTACTACTTACTACTACTACTAGTCAACACTCGTGCTCTCTCCTTGCTGGGAAAAATATTCACAATTAGACAAAGTAACATACACACACAGACTTGCTTTACTTTTCCGATCCAGCGGCCATCTGAGTTCTAGCCATTCCGCCTCCAATATTTCACACACACATACACACACACATTGACAAATACACGTACGTACATACATACACACTTAGCAAGAGGTTACAATTTTGCTATTGTACTATCACCAGCTAGCTCTTTCAAACTTCGCAGTGACTCACAATTTCTGCTTGTGCTCAACACCGAGGAGAGAGAGAGAGAGACAGAGACCGCAATAAAACTTTTTGTCATGATCACTAGGACTAGAATAGTGTTTTACCTCAAAATCGAAAAAAAAAAAAAAAAAAAAAAAAAAAGCCAAAAACCATCTTCCATTCACTCGTATACATAATATATTACATCAAAACATCAAACGAACACAAGCACACTCAGGATATCTCGTCTGCGTCATTTCCCTCGCATGAATCAATCATCGGTGAAATAGAGAAAGCAGACAGCATATCCATCCAGCCCGCCCGTAGACGGAGACATGGTAACGTGAAATCACAGCTGTAGAGAGAGAGAAACCCACACAAAATGCCAGACAATTTTCCTGTACAAGAAAGAACAAACCTCGGCAGTCACATCCACATTCGGTCCCAAAATCGAAACACAATGGATTACATTAGACCCAAGTTGTTTTTTTTGTGTAAAGATATTCACATCTGAAT